TTGGAGGATTGCAGTTAATACCGAAAAATCAAAAGCAATAATTTTTCGCAAAGGTCAAACAAATTTCATTCCAACTAGACCTCTTCTGTTTGATGAAGCAATTGATTGGGTTGACGAAGTTAAATATCTAGCAGTAATTCTTGATAAAATAATTGACTTTTCAGAAACATCTCAGGGAAACTGTAGAAAAAATCAGTATCACGCTTGCAACTATGTGCCCACTTCTTGGCAGAAGAAGTCATATGTCCGTTTCTAATAAACTCCCCTTATATAAATCTATACTTCAACCAGCATTACTCTATGCTTGTCCTGTCTGGGGCCATGCTGCCAAAACTCACCTTCAACGCAACACATCCAAGTTCTTCAAAACAAAGCACTCAGAGAGATCATCAACGCGCCATGGTTCATTCCAAATTGTTATATCCACCGTGATCTCAAAGTAGATACAATTCAAGATTATATTCAAAAACTTGCCAGAAATTTCTTCTATTCAGTTCTCACTCATCCTAACAACTGCATTAACTCTCTTAGATGTTCTCCATTTCCCATAGGAAAGCCCAAATATCCATCTGACATTCTCCATTCTTAACAGTTTTTACTTATACTAGATTCTTCAGTTCACTGATTTGAACCTTCAACCAGATACTCACCTTTTTCGTAGACTGATGGCGGCCACCTGACTTTTACTTTCGTCTTTTTGTTTTACTGATGTTCTTCACGTGATGTTCTTAGTAGTACTTCGAAAAGATGGACCGCTGGGGATTGCCGCGCCCTCTATAAATAATGCGACAATAAGTGGACCATTTTTGGGAAAGGTGGTAATACCAGTTTCCCCTCCCTTCTTTATACTCCGTGTTCGTGTAGTACACCTTGATACATTCCAGAAAATCTCTTAATCCTCCCATTTTTCCCCCTTTCTCCTCGTGAAGATGTCCTCTTAGCAACGAATTCTGTATATTTGTATCTATTAAGCTGAGAAAGCCAAAAAATTCTTACGAAACTTTGACGCATGAAATTTCCGCTTTTGAGTAAATATGATAAAATATATTAAGCTTCTTGAGAAAAAGAATTAAGAGATTAGTTGTATGTTTAAAAAATTCACACCTTCAAACATGTGACTTCTGAACGTATTTAGCGGGAGGTAAAATCGAGGGAACGTGTTTTGGGAAAAACAATTACCTTATCAAATAATTTCTGTGTGTGTGCTAGAATATACAAGAAATGTTTATAGAAGCATACATATTGTGACTTGTCAGGGTTTAATCCTAGTATCCGGTGCACACGGGATTTGGCTACTTTTTGGCGACTTTTATGATGAGCAGTAAAAACGGGACATATACGATAAGTAGTAAACGGGTATTCAAAGAAGTATATATAGTTATACATAGTATACTATGTATATAGTGTATAGTGTACTATTGCTATATATACATAGAACGTTCTTTTGGTAATTTTTGGTGTTGGCGATAATTTTTAAAATCGCGCCAAGGCTGCACCGTATACTAGGCTTTTACCCTTGTCAGTATTCAAGGTATGATTAGCATAAATTGGCCTATTTGCTTATGACAAAACACAAAGATTGCCTGTAGGAACAATATATTATTATTATTATTATTATAAGGGCACAGCCCCGATCCTACCAGCCGGCCGTATGATAAAAAAATGGGACTGGCTAGAAAGGAACAATTTGAAGTTAAATTCTATATTTGAAACCAACAGTTTTTGCACAAATTGTATTGAATTAATGCACCACTCCGAGTGCATAGAATTCTTATACTTAAAACAGTGAAATTAATTCAGTCAGAGGGTTTTCATCCGCAGAGAACCCGTTGGCGCTTCGGGAAGGAACCTGTTGGCACCGTTGCCTGTTTACTCGCCAAGCCAATAATCGGTTCATCGACGATGAGCCGAGCTGTAAACGTGATTTTTAGTGTATGTAAATTCAAGTTAGCAGACAAAACAATATATTAAGCATATGGTAGTAAAAATTCACAGATAATAAGCATGTAGATGTAAAACTAACCGGTTAAACGTGATATACGAAAAAAATTCGTCTTAAATTCCAATTAACACAGAAAACAATATATTCCTTACACCAGCAGTGGTTTGCTAATTTTGATGACCAAGGTGATGCATCAAACTATTATGTCATCTGATCGGGGCTGTGCCCTTATAATTCAAGTTAATCATCTATTTATGTCACACCTGCCATCCTCTGAAAGGTAATTGTTAAAAAACCATTAACAATATATTATCTTGTTAAAATTTTATGCTATAAAAATCGATTTATTCTCATAATTTTAGATGACAATAACCAATAATAAAAATAAAAGCATTACTTAATTATTTAAAACGCACATGCACATTTTGGCGGCCTACGAAAGCAAATTATTTTAGAGGTAGGAAACCTCATGGTTCTTAGAGCTATTAATAATTAAGAACACAGCGTAAACAGCCGTGTTACAAATTAGCATTCACCCCTCCCGCCGTATTTTCTTCCTTTCACCCCGAACCCAGAACCGGCATCTATCTACGAAAATATTTCTATCTATTCGTTGTTAAAAAAATTCAGAAAACATAATAATAAATAAGAGAAGAATAATATAAATCTGCAAATGCGAACAACGACAGTGATAATTCAACAAAATCAACGCAAGAACTTCGAACTTCGAACTTGCAAACTTCGAACAAGCGAATAGGATAAATCCGCTGGGTTACCAGGTTTGAACTATTATCGCCAAAGTTGGAGATGTTTACATTATCGGGTTCTCTGCGGAAGTGCTTCCCAGTCAGAAATTGTGGTAAATACCAAGGTAGGTGTGTAATTATATGTGCCATATTTCAGAAGTATTTTTAAAATTGCATTGATCTGCGGTTAATTAAAGAATCGAAAGACATGCATAACAGCAAAGAAAAGTCATTCAGATGTGATATATATTACAAGTCATATGTATACAAAAGTGATTTAATCACACATAGACACATTCATACTGGAGAAACATACGAATGTAGTGTATGCTGGAAATCCTTTTCTAACAAACGAACACTAAAACAGCATATGTATATCCACACAGGTGAAAAACCATACACATGTGATATATGTTTTAGGTCATTTGCACAGAATGTTACCTTAAAGCAACATAAGCGCATTCACTCGGGTGAGAAAGAATACATCTGTGATATATGTAAAAAGGCATTTGTTCATCTGCGCAGCTTGAGCGTACACATACGTTCCCACATAGGGGATAAGTCATATCTGTGTGAAATATGTAACAAGAGATTTTTGCTGAAACATAAGCATTTGGAGGATGCATATGCGTATTCATACAGGTGAAAAGCCCTATAAATGTGAAATATGTGACAAGTCATTTATGTCAAATACTTCCTTGAAATACCATTCATATAGCCATACAGGTGAAAAACCGCATAAATGTGTTACATGTCGTAAGTCAGCAAAAATGATTTAAAAAAGCATATGATTTACCACAGTGAGGAAAAATGTCTTGATTGTAACATATGTAGAATATCATTTTCACGTTTGAGTAGTTACAGTAAGCATACGAATTATCATGTAACTGGAAAACAACACGTATGTACTATATGTAGAAGTCATTTCCACGTGGATGGCGCTTAGTCAGACATACCGTAATTTCCGGAAGAAAGGTCGCATCAGCGTAAACGCCGCACTCGAGAAAAATGGCGGGAAAAAAATTAAAATCACACAGAAACGCCGCATCAGCGTAAACGCCGCAATAGATTAAATTGCGCGTGACATCGTCGTGGGCCGTATAGATGCAAAAACTCAACCTAAGTCCTGATATATGACATACCAGTTAAGAAAAATGCATGAAATGAAACCATAACTCAAAAATGAATTAAAGGTAAGAAATGTATAGCTTTCTGTGCCGTTTAGAGACATTTTCAAAAATTTTCCGCTCCCTAATTAAAACTATCCAACAAGTACTTGTACCCTAACTGATGGGATCTGTATTTGGCAGAATGCCAAGAAAAATCCATTCATGCTGAAGGGGAAATACGTCAGAGTTCGTTATTGCGAGGCAGGTGGAGTAGTGTGTCCGCCTTTGAAAAAAATTGCAGAAAAGGCAGGCGGGGTGGAAAGAGGATGGGTCCTGGAAGATTCATCGAATGGCAGAGGAAAGACTATTCAAACTGATGAGAATGTTGATTTGAAAGGGGGAAGAATGTTATTGTTCTGAGATCTCGTTTAGGGTGAATAAGGCATGTAGGTCCGTTCAAGGAAAGAACGTAAACAAAAAACGTTCGCAAAAAGCAACTGAGTGGTCTTTTGTATGGGAACAGCACCAATCTATGCACAATGACAAGGCCATCCAAACTATGTACAATGACCATCATAGGAAATATTTTATTTTTAGTGCACCTAATCGCCGCATGGGTAGAAACGCCGCACCCGCTGAAAATTTAAGTTTTAAACACGTAAACGCCGCGACGTTTCTTCCGGAAATTACGGTATGCGTATACATACAGGTGAAGAAACACATGTAGGTGAAAATACTATGCAGCAAAGTACAGATAAAAATTAACATCTTGAACGTACTATGTGTTTTAAAATATTTCCAACTAATACTACTTTACAAGAACATGTGTATACCCATATAGGTGAAAAACTGCTGGAATGTAATATATGTGCAAAGTTGTTTGCATTTCAAAGTAGCTTAAACAGACACATGTATAATCACACAGGACAGAAACAACATGTGTGTAATATATGTAAGAAATCATTTTCGCAGCAGTGGCACTTAGCTAAACATTTGTGTATTTATACAAGTGAGGAAATATCCATAGGTAAAAGCGCAAAAGATAAAAAGCTTGAATGTGCTGTATGTTTCAAATCATTTAATTATCCATCTGTGTTACAAGAACATGTGTTTACTCATACAGGTGAAAAACCATGTAAATGTGATGTATGTGGGAAATCATTTGCATTTTGAAATACTTTAAGGAAACACAAATATATCCATATGAGTAAGAAACGATATGAATGTAATATATGTGGCAAAGCATTTCCATTTAATTACCTTTTAATTAGGCATAAGCGCATCCATGCATATGACAAACTTCTTGTGTCTAAAGACATTTCCCAGCAACAAACAAGTGTAAAGTCTGATGAATTTGTTGCACGCTTAAAATCATTTATAAATCTAGAAGGTTCAAGCAACAGATGTCTAGCCAGAGAAATGAGAAACCACAAGAATGTGATATATGCGGGAAAACATTTGCACACCAGGGGCCACTTAAATGGACATTTATGTGTTGCAAATAATGAGTCAAATGTGTCTGAAAATGCTTCCAAACAGCATATGGCTGAAAAACCTAATGAATCTGGTGCAAGTTTAAAATCATTCACCTATCCAGAAGATTTACAGCAGCATGTGTCCGTTCAGAGAAATGAGGAACCACAGGAATGCAATATATGCGCGAAAACATTTGCGCACCAGGGCCACTCAAATGGACATTTATGCGTTGCAAATAAAGAGTCAGATGTGTCTCAAAATGCTTCCAAACATTTTGAGATGGTGGAAACAAAATGGCTGGAAAAGCTAATGAATCTGCTACATGTTTAAAATCAATTACATATCTAGAAGATTTACAGCAACATGTATCTATCCAGAGAAATGAGAAGCCACGAGAATGTAATATATGGTGGGGACACCTTTGCACACCAAGGCCACTTAAATGGGCATTTGTGTGTTGCAGATAAAGAGTCGGATGTGTCTAAGAAGGCTTCCAAACAGCATATAGCTAAAAAGCCTATTGAATCTAGCGCATATTTTAAGTCATTTATGCATTTGAATGGTCTAGATCAAAATGTGTCTACCCTCACTGATGAGAAACTACATGAATGTAAAATATGTGGGAGGATGTTTTCACTCTTCTGTATCCATGACAGTGAAGAGCCAAATTTGTTAGAAAATGCTTCGCAGCAGCGTGTAGCTGAAAAACCTAATGAATCTGATGTATGTTTAAAATCGCTTGCATAGCCGGATGATTTTTACCGACATGTACCTCTTCAGACAAATGAAAAGGCCTCATGAGTGTAATATATGTAAAAAAAAACTTTACTCAGGAGAGCCATTTGATTGAACATTTCTGTATAAGTACAACTGAAGCAGGACATAGGTGTGAAAACATTTCCCAATCACCTACTAGAGGTAATTCTAATGAATCTATTGCATATTTAAAATCACCTGCATATACAGATGACTTAAACCACATGTGTATCCAGAGATATGAGAAGCCCTATGAATGTAATATATAAAACAAAACATTTTCACAGCAGAGCCATTTAATTGTACATTTCTATATTAGTACAAATAAAGAGTAGTGCATGTCTCAGATGTCTTCCCAGCAGCATGCAGTTGAAAAACTTAAAATGAATATACTGTTCATCGTACGTATGTCTTTCTGCAAATACAGATAAGAAGCCATTTAAATGTAATATATGTGAAATCCATTCACACGAGGAACCAGAAAGGTTTGAAAATGCTTCCCAGCAGCATACACATGAAGAACCATTTGTATCTGAGAAAGCTTGCCAACAACATGCAGATGGAAAATCTGATGAATCTGACACTAGTTTAAAACTCATCTGCAAATATCGATGACTTACAGACACTTACATTTGTTCCTACAAATAAAGAAGCTGAATGTTTGTAATTTATATGGAAACTTTTTTATGTTTAAAAGTAAATTAATTGGCCATGTGCACGAGGAATCTCATCTCAGCAACATACACATGAAGGAGCATGTGTCTCTGCAGAAGTTTGAGAACAACATACAGATGGAAAATCTAATGAATGCTTAAAACCTCCACATTTAAGTGATTTAGAGATGCCTTTATCTACTCACACAAATAAGGAGCGGTATAAATGTAATGTATGCAGAAAATCTTTTAGATTTCGAAGTAACTTAGTGAGACACCTAAGCGCCCATAATGATAAGAAGAGTTAAAAAATGTAATATATGTTAAAAACTATTTGCACTTCAGAGTAGCTTAGCTGGGCACAAATACGTCCATAAAGGTAATAAACCACATGTATGTAATAAATCATTTCAGCATAGATGTGCTTAATCAGACATATGCGTATCCATGCAAAACATAATGAAGGCAACAATCGTCATGAATGTGCTGTATGTTTTAAGCCATTTGGTTGTCCTGCTGCTTTACAAGAACATGTGTATTCCCACACTGGTGAGAAACCACACGAATGTAATACACGTGGAAAATTATTTGCACATCGAAGTAGCTTAAAGATACATTATTCACATACAAGTAAGAAAACATCAGTTTGTAGTATATGTGGCAAAGCATTTACACAACGGTGCTGCTTAATTAAACATATGCGTTGTCATGCACATGAAAACCATTCTTGTTCAAAACTGCTTTTCAAAACATATAGGTGAAAAACCTAATGAATCTACTGCATATTTAAAATCACTTCCACATCCAGATGACTTACAAACACAAATGTCTTGCCACACAAATGAGAAATCACAGGTAGGCATAAATGGTGTACAGCAACATATTTGTATAAATCCTGTACATCCACTGGTAATTATAGTAACTACCTAATGTTCCTATAAATGCTGGGCAGCCAAAGGTGCGTATAAATGCTTTACCAGAACATGCAGGTAAAAAAATCTCACAAATGTGCTGCATGTATCAAATCATTTTCACATCCAAATGTCTTGAAGCAACATATGCATACCCATAAGCCATATAAATGTGACACATGTGAAATATCACTTAGACTTTGAGGTACCCTAACTAGACACTTAAATAAGCCCACAAAAATGAAAATCCACATACATGTAATATGTGTCCCAAGTCATTTCCAAAGAAGTGGCGCTTGCTTAGACATTTGCACAGTCACAGAAATGATAAGCCAAATGTTTATGAAAGTATTTTAGAGAAAAGTTCAGGTAAAAAATTTCATGAATGTGCTGTATGCTTCAAATCATCTGCATATCCAAGTCTGTTACAACAACATGTGCATATTCCCACAGCTGAGAAACCACACGACTGTAATTTATGTGTAAAATCATTTGCCCTTCAGAGTAGCTTAAGGAGAGACATGCATGAACATGAAGTTGGGAAAAAACATACTTGTAATATATGTGATAAGTCTTTTCCATATACGTGGTGATTAGCCAGATATTTAATTATCCACATGAGGGAATAATGTAATCGGAAGTGATATTTGAAATATATTACAGTTCATTTGAAAATATATTATACACGTTTTTGTACTTATAATAAATTATTTATGTACCATTTAATCAGCAGTCAGTTAATGGTAGTAATGGTATATAGTTGCTGAGTATAAGAAATTCAAATCATGTATTTTAAACTTAAGTGTACAATTATGATGATATCTTACTGCCATCCTTAGAAGAAAAAGCTGTTTTGTTTAAATCGTTTTTTAAAACATATTTGGAAAATAAAATGGTTGATCTTTACATTATGGTAATTTGGCGTTTTTTTGGCAAAAATTTGGCGACCAACTCTCCTACAGCAACACTCTATTTTTTTTCCTCCGCCGCCAGATATGTTTCTTTTCTTTTTATCTACTGAACACTTCTTCCAACAATCTACTAGCCGAATTACACTTATGCTAGAAATTTTATCTAACAAAACTGCTTAATCATAACAAATATTCACTGCAAAATTGGGAAAAAGTGCACAATACCATACTACTTACGCGTGTTTCAAAATAACACATACACATAAAACCATGTACACGCCGACTTATTTTTACTTAAAAAAAACATCCCAGAATTACACAAAAATGGCATTGCGCCACACTCTTCACTATATCCATGTACACTGCTTTTTTCTCATAAATTAGAAAAATTTCACGAAAATACATGACAATTTTCTGAATCTTTAAAACCCGGGTAAAAAGAACATATATGAAATTACCTGATCGCGAAAAAAAAAGTTTATACCCTTCCAAATATGAACATTTCCACATATAAAATAAATAAAATATCCAAAAACTTTACCTCTAAATCATCTACTATATTATACACGTCACCAACGAATTCCATACCACAAGCATTACAAATACTTAGTGTCAAATATTTAAATTATTTCCATGCACGTTACTTCAACTTAAGCGTATACCAGATTCCTACAAACATAAAATTCACAAAATAACTATCATTTAATTAAAATATCACTAAACCATTACACGTCGACTTATTTTTACTTAAAAAAACATCACAGAATTGCACAAAAAAATGGCATTGCGCACACTCTTTACTATATCCATGTACACTGCTTTTTTCTCATAAATTAGAAAAAATTTCACGAAAATGCATAAACAATTTTCTGAATCTTTAAACCCGGTAAAAAGAACATATATGAAATTACCTGATCGCGAAAAAGTATATACCCTTTCCAAATATGAACATTTCCCCGTATAAAATAAAATAAAAATATCCAAAAACTTTTACCTCTACATTATCTATTATATTACAAACGTCACTAAACTATTTCATACCGCAAACATTACAAATGGTTACAAATACTTAGTGTCAAATATTTAAATTATTTCCATGCACGTTTACGCAAATTACTTTATATTCCACCTTACATTTAGAACAATGCATAAAAATAATATCCTCAAATAATTAAAAATACTAACTTACCTATTCTTCTTCAGAATCTTGATTACGTGTCCGATAAACTTTTCTTATTTCTGTTTCAGGATCTTTAAAATCATACTTATACCTCACACCAAGGTACCAGGTAAAATAAATAACTTAATAAAACATCTTTACTTCTATCTCGCACAACTTTAAAGAAACACTTATTACTACCCCTTTCAATCCCACTAAATACCCATTTCGAATTCACTTTAGTTAGGGCCATGGGATCCAAAAATTAACGAACACTGTTTCACACAACACAGAATAAAGCCAAATACAAAATTTCCAGATTTTTTCCTGATTTCCCCCCCTTTTAGGATTAAAGAACCGTAATTCGTCCATTAATATCACATGACATATCCCATGATCTCTCATTTCTCTCACACAAAATAATGCGTAATCAGAACTGAGTACTGCTCACATTATTACCAAAGTCCCAGGTAGTAACCTTTATCGCCTCCAAAATGTCGCCAAACTACCAGTTACCATATTCTAAAGATTCAGCCAATAAAATATTATGACACTAAACAACTTGATATTTTTTTTTAATTTTTAACATCAGCTGGCAGTTAATTATATTCCATCAAAAGTTGTTGCATGTTTTAATTTGTTAGAATCTGATAATTGAAATTTTAAGTGTTTAGTATTTATAGATAAATGAAAAAATTGTGCAGTTACATAACTGTAATAGAGCTTTAACTTTGTCGGAGCCCAGCTCCCGTACTTCTGAATTTTTTAGAAAGTTATTTCTAACTTCTGAATGCATGCATGTCTTTTTCTAGAAAAAAAGCACTTGAAAGTTGAGATGACAGAAAAGCTTCCACCCAAGTCAAAGGCTTATTCTCCAGGAAATGCGATGAATTTATGAGAGTGTGTTAAGTTTTTTATTTCTTATCAGGATAGTCATGGCCAGAAAGTGTTAAACTGTTTAGTCTTTCATTTCATACCTACATATATATCTGTTAAAATATTCTGTGCCCTTTCTCTTTGAACTAAAATTTCTTTACCCCACTGCCGGGTCCCCCGTTAACTTCCTTGTTGTGATTTTCTCTCCTCCCAGATAACCCGTTTTCCAAATTTATTCTAACTGCACCTTAAGGAATGGGTCGTCGTTTGATAGCACCTACTTTTGATTCAGTCTGGAAGACCTTTTTAGATTTTTCTCCAGGTTAAGATGTTCTGTCCTTGAACAAAATAGTCTAAATAACTTTATTTTACATCATGTATTACGCATTTATATAATTATTACTGAACTTGATAAATGTGTGTAATAGTCTAAAATTTTAAGTTAATTGCCTACCTATTAAACTTTTGTTTTACTTTATAAAATAAATTAGGATTATACAGTCAAAAGTCGTTAATCCGGACTCGTCGGGACTCGGCGATTCGGGTTATAGATCATCAGTGTAAATCTCGTAAGATGGCATGCAGAAATTCTAAAATTAAAATATGAAACCGTTAATTTATGAAATAAAGAACAATTATGATCTAAAGGGTATCAAAATTTACAAAAAAAAAAAAAAAAAAAAAAAAAAAAAAAAAAAAGCTTAATATTTATTTTTTACTTTATTAAACATTTCTTTCAATGTAAGTTGTTTAAGTTGCTTCGTTTTATCTGATAATATTTTCTCTTTAATTCTATAAACAGACATAATTTCTTGTTCAGTTACAAAGTTCCGCTGTTCAAATCCCGTAATTGCTGTGCCGAGAATACCGACTAACTTGTCAATCGAAATTTTTTCGTTTTCACTAACCTCTCTATCACCTTCTTCATATCTTTATCCATTTTTTGCAGCAATTCCACTTTTTGTTTGATGGATATCGAAACATACTTTCGTTTTGTAGATCCTTGGGGAGCTCCAGCATCTGAAATTCTATTTGACATAATCGAAAGTTCAAGTTTACTTTTATAACATTGCTCTTACAGTCTGTAAAAAATAATAAGCCGCATCTAATTCGAAGATTAAGAAACAACGCAATAATCAACAACTGAAATAGATAATTTTAGCTTATACCGTCCGTTATACATTACACGCGCACGCGAAAACGTATTCTGCGCTTGCGCACACGCAAATGCGCAGTCGTAAAGGTCTTACGCGCACGCGTAAACGCCTAAGTGCATGTGTCAATGCGGCGCATGCGCAGAAAGTTTTTAGCTTTGAGGTCCGGATTATAGATCATTCCGGATTATGGGTGTCCGAATTAACGACTTTTGACTGTATCATGCTTAGTTAAGTCATTTATTAGTAATTACATATTACATTATAATGAAGAAAATATCTTAAAATGTTAAAGATATAAAATTTCTATTGAGGCAAAAATTGAAACATATCTTCAATTTAGGCATTATTTTTAAAGATAACACTATGTACACTGTGCAAAAAAAAAAATAATAATAAAAAAAATATAAATAAAATAAAAAAAAATAAATAAATAAAAATAAAATGGGACAATTCTATATCTCCCGTTCTACTGGGACGATTGACGAGATTCGACTTCTGTTTTTCTTATCTCAAAAGCACGACTCGACATATATATTAGATTTATATACAGCATTGCTTGAATATTGGTATTTTGACACAAGATTGGACTTTTTCTGCAATGATGTGCCAATTTGTTTCTATATTTCTATTCTACGACCCAAATTATACCTAAATATTAAATTTTGTGTGAAATTTATGGCAAATGTAAAAATTTATTTTTTTTCATTGTAAATGAACAGAAAAAAGTCTTTGTTCATTATTTCAAATAATTGTAACAAAGTGCGTAAACCACATTCAGCATTATTATTGCTTATAACAAATATGCCAAATTTCAAAATGTGCTAGTATGTAAATTCACGTAAATCCTAGGAAATTTTAAATAAAAAATTCTAATTTTTTGCAGGTATGCTTAGAAATACATCTTCTTTAAGATGATGGTAAAAATTTTACAGATTATAATCATAGTTTTATGAAAATTATTTAAAATACAAATTAAAACATAAATGATAAAATATGGGCGAATTATATTTGGAATGACCTAACTTTCAAATTCTAGAAGAAAGGCATCAAGTAAGTTTAAAAAAAAAGATATATTAATATATATGAATTCAAAACATTTAGAAGCTATTTTTTTTACGATTTTTACTGTACGATTGTTAGTAAAATTGGCAGTTTGGCATAATTTTAATCATAGAATCGAAATATGGAAAACCATTGGTATGTTATTTCAGAAAAAATCAGATTTTGTGTCAAACCTGCTTTCGTCTGCTGTTTCAATTTTTCTTCTTTGTTCATTTAGTTTATAATATTATGATGAAAAATTAAATTAATACATTTAACTGTAAGTATTGGAAACCTTGAAAATAAAACATTGATACTATATTAACTTATTGCAGTGATGTTATTGTTGTCATCCTTAATATAGATCTTTCAGACCTCATAATGGCATCTGTGTTTGATTAACACCATTAGTTGCTGGTCTGTGCACTTCATAGTCATGAAAGGTGATG